TCCTTTAGAGAGACGCATCCCCCACACCCACACTCGCATCTCTCGCGCGAGATGCGGCATCTCCCGCAGGAAATGTGGTGGCATCTCCAAAATCTTGGATATGTGACACTGCTGTTCGAATGACAACGGTTTTTTGCCCAAATCCTATGAATACTTGTATGTACTACAATGATTCTACATAAAATCCATTTCACCAAAGTAAAACATGCTTTAAAGTTACCTTTAATTATCTTTTAATGCAATGTTCAATAACAGATCCATTTTTTCATAATTATACTAAGATCATCCTCAGCAGTTAGACCTTCAATGACAACAACAAAAGCATTGAATGTTTTGTTTCTAGAGCATTACGACGTTTTGAGTCTCTCAAAGATGAACTCCAATACATTAAATCAGACGATCGTCGTAGTTCCAATCGCAGAGTATCTATTATTTTTGATCACGGAATGAACGAAGTTGCCAACGGTAATAGCAACACAACTGGTTTAGAAAATTCAACCTCGCGACAAAGTTGGATTGGCTCATTTTCCAATGTTGTATCTAGACGATTAGTCAAAAAAACGCCTGAACGAAGTTCGGAACAAAAACATTACAAAAGTTTAAGTAATTTAAAAGCAGCTTTTAGTGAATTCTACTTAATGCTTGTTCTTTTACAAAATTATCAAGTTCTCAATTTTACTGGTTTTCGTAAAATATTAAAAAAACACGATAAAATATTTCAAACGACACGTGGTGATGAATGGCGGTAAGATTTTACAGTTTTATTTTTGATTTTCTCAAAGGTTCTTTTTTTATCATTTTTATACCAAGATAAACGGTTATCTTTTTCGCAACACATATATTTATCCTACTGTATGAGTATTTGTTACAGCATGTCTTTTTCTAAAATCTTTTTTCTTTTCATAGCATATTGACCTGATGAAGTCAAAGTTCATTCATGACATAAATATTTCGAAGTCAACAAAAACGATTCCATTTGGAAGATATATACCCCTGGCAAAAATAAGTTTTCCTCTGTATTTTGAGGATATTGTTACCAAAAGAACATATTTTTTAAAAAGTAACGACATATTCGGGAAGCCCGTGAAATTTTACATCTTTCTA